GCATTTTTTTCTAAGCATGTTTTGAAGAATGTCTTTGTAATTACACAGGAAACACTCAGAGGACATCAAACTATGCAGTCAGTCAGTTGCTGATAGAATCGAATCCAGTCCATCCAGGAGACACAATGACGCTCCAGTGTTCAGTCTTCTCTGATTCTGAGAACAAGACGTGTCCAGGAGGTCTCAATATTCTCTGGTTCAGAACTGGATTAAATAATATTTATCCAAACATCATCTACACTGACACAAATAGCTATAATGAATGTGAGAAAAAATCTGACTCACAGGAGAGGTGTCTTTATTACTTCTCTAAGAACGTCAGCTCCTCTGATGCTGGGACCTACTACTGTGCTGTGGCCACATGTGGGGAGATATTATTTGGAAATGGAATTACACTGGATACTCGAGGTAACGTTATCATTGGTCTATCAAATGTAAAATATATGTGAACTTGCACTTTTACAAGTAACCATTAGCTTTTATTTATTACACACTAATCTCATATTTTCCTTTTATCTTTTATTTTAATGTGACTGCAGAAAGCAGTGTGTGGTCACAGAAAGCCAGTAGAGCTCTTTTTTTGATCTTTGCTGTCGTGGTTATAAGTCTGATTGTTACTGCTGTCCTCATATACACAATCAAGATAAACAACAGTGATCATTCCAAAGGTAATTTAAATTGGTTGTAGTTCTTTGTGTAATAAAAGCATATAAATCTTACATTTTTATTAACTGTTTCCTCTGTGTTTCATAATTAAGTTGCAGTCCTGCAGAAAAACTTTAGTTGTCAGAAAGGGCAACAGGTACAGTACTTAAAGCTAAAATTATTTTCATAATTTTTTTCTGTTTATTTTTTAAAGTTTTGATATATCTAATATTTTAATGGCTGTATTTTCCCTAAATAAGGACACATGGCTTTTATCTGCTGTTGTCTTTACCATGATGGAAGCTGAAAGAAGTAAAAGAACAGATCCAAAGGCAGCAAAACAGCGGCAGATCTACATGGCTGTCAAGGCTTTTGGGCTCGATTAGGTCTATTTACCATCCTTTGGAATGAAATAAACTTTTTTTGCTGTTAATTTGGCGCTAATAGGTTTTTGTCTTTCCATAGGCATTATTATTAATGTCTAGATGTATTTAAATTGAAAATGTACATACTTGCATACATGTCAAGATCAGTCCTGAATACCAACATTCCTAGTTTTGCCTGGAATGTATGATACTCAGGTAATTAGGGTGCATACTACACTGGCACACACCCATTGAAGTTAAAATGTCAAAAACAGAAAGCTATGAAATCAGGGGATTATTATTGTTTGTTATTATATAGTGAATATGCAATCTACCCCAACTGTATTTTTCTGTTTCTATTTTATGATTTACATGATGATATCACCATGAATAAGTAAAAAAGAAAGAAAAGTATTGTAACCACAATCAAAGAGTAACAGGAAATTACTGATGTATTCAAACAGGGGAAACATCAGAGAAGATTAAAGATTCCAACATCCGTAAAATAAGTGATTTTGACCATTGCACTGTCTGGTATAGACAGGATAAAGCAATAATCAACAGTGGATGTAATTTATCATTTGGCATCATTGTCTTTACTATATTTTTGGGACTTTGTTGTAACATAATGCCCTTATTCTTATGGTTATTGTATTTCTCAACATTAACACAATTAATAAATGTAATTTAAATGTAATTAATAAATAGAACACCTTCTAGTGCAAATACAGT